AGAGAGAGAGAGAGAGAGACAGACAGACAGACAGAATCCAAAGCAGGCTCCAGGCTCCAGGCTCCGAGCTGTCAGCACAGAGCCTGATTCGGGGCTCGAACCCAGGAACTGTGAGATCATGACCCCAGCTGAAGTCGGTCACTTAACCGACTCAGCCACCCAGGCACCCCAAATCCAGATTAACCTTAACAATTTCAGAACAAGAATGACAATTTAAAAAGATCACTTTCATTTACCATACGCTGACTGCTTTATGTTACCTTTTTCTGATCTTTGGTTCCATGATTGGAATTTGGATGTTTAAACTTGAGGATCAGTGTTAAATAGACATAGGAAGTCAAAGGCAGGAAAGGCATTTCAGTATATGTGATAGGATTAAAGGGTATTTACAGTGGCCAGAGTTACTCAGTGTTACCCTTCATTCCTCATGCTCATTATTGTGTAAAATTGGAATTTTAGAATGTTAGAACTAGAGTGAAACCTAGAGATTATTTTATCTAGCCACTTTGTAGATGAGCAAACTGATTACATGGCTGCTCAGAGGCCACGGTTTACTTAATCGCAGGTATGAAATGTAGGTCTTTATAAAATATTCTCCTTTACAAAAAAAAACTGAGTGGTTTTATTTATAGGTTAATAACCTCTTAAACCAAGGCTGAAAATAGCCTGGCACTTTTATGCATTTGTAATTTAGTAAATTTTAATTTTGACTATTAAAAGTTCTCTAATTTGGTATAAGGTGTTTAGAAGGAATTTTTGTTTTGCCATTTGTTAAAATGTAAAAACCAAAAACACAGTACTCTTTATAATGGAATTATTTATATTTTTTAAGGAAGTAGAGTTGCCTGTGTTGATGAGATTTTGTCAAGAGATCTCTAGATCTTAAAAGTGTATTCAACTTACAAGATTTTGTGATTCCTTGGTTTTTCAAAAAATATTTGCATATTCTGTTAGTACATAGGGATATTTAACATGTTACAAAGTAAAGTTATAGTTGACTTAAGGTGAAAATGACTCTTATTTGAATTGTCTGATAGGTGAAACCTTCTCTCGATGAAGCTTTTGTCATCCAAGAACAGAATGTTGCACTGAATTTCATTGGCTCAAGAGGGGCAAAGCCTGGTGTCACCAAAGAGAAAAGAATTAAATATGCAAAAGAAGTCTTACAAAAAGAAATGCTCCCTCATGTCGGTGTCAGTGATTTTTGTGAGACCAAAAAAGCTTATTTCTTGGGGTACGTTAAATACCGTTTTAAGTTTTTTGCCAAGATAGTTTTTGTTGAAGTTAAAAATATCAAAGGGGTGCCTAGGTGGCTCAAAGAGCATTAAAAAAATGCCAGAATGGTGTTTTTAAATTTTTTAAAAAGCCAAAAACCATATGTTTTCTTTTTCACTTCTTCTTTTTTTTAAAGGTACATGGTTCATCGGTTGCTTTTAGCAGCTTTGGGTAGAAGAGAATTAGATGACAGGGATCACTATGGAAACAAAAGATTGGATCTTGCTGGACCACTACTTGCATTCTTATTCAGAGGGTAAGGAATGAGAATGATAACAGTTACAAATAGAGAGATTTCACTTTAGATTTGTCATTGCACTAGTGGAAGTCCTAAACTGTCTTGGCATCTATATTGGGTATATATGAAGTTGGCTACATTCTGTTTGCCACTTGCCCAGATTTTGTTCTACTTCGTGTCTGTGAATTTCAGGTTTGTAAGGGCAGGTTATTACTTGTATACATTTTCTTTATTTCTCTGGTAGCTTTATAAGTCATTTGCTAAGTACTGATGATATTGGAATTTTCATTAGTCCTGCTTTTGCGTTTTATAAAAACCCAAAAGCTGGAGGGAAATCTGTCAAAATATTAGCAGCTGTTGTCTCACAGTATTGATGTAATATGATTTTTATTTTATTCTTCCTCTGTTTTTGTATTTTCTATACTTCCTGTAATGAACATATAACACTTTTATATTCAGAAAAGTTATTTTTAAAAGCAAAATCTGTAAACAATATAAAAAAGATAATATTAGCACTATTTCTTTCTTCATGTTCTATTAGTGTGTTGTAGAATAGTGATTTGTCAGCCTACTGTTTCACCCTACTAAGGAGTCTCTGACATTTTTCCCTAGTTGCTCACCTCATGTGTGTTTATGTACTGTGAGTACATTAGTGCTTTTTACATAAAAAGTAGTAACGCTTCCCTCCCCCTACCCGAACTACTTTTCACCCCCTGTGGGCAAAATTGTCCATATTGAGAATGCATGTTGTTGACCTTTACATATTTAAAATACCATTTTATTTGGCAGTATGTTTAAGAATTTGCTTAAAGAGGTGCGGATCTATGCACAGAAGTTTATTGATCGAGGAAAGGATTTTAACTTGGAGTTGGCAATTAAAACAAGGATTATATCTGATGGCCTAAAATATTCGTTAGCTACTGGAAACTGGGGTGACCAAAAGAAAGCTCATCAAGCCAGAGCTGGAGTATCTCAGGTAAGGACATCGACTGTAACTACAGGTTTGATAGGAAAATGTTGTGAGACTAATAGATCCCTTCATTCATTACATGTAAATTATTTTACTTTTTTTTTTTCTTAGATGTAAAAGCACTGGGGGATATTGAATTATGAAAATGAAATTTTCCTTAAATTAGCTGTTAGCATTACTTAAGAGATTAAAGTTTTGGCTTGCAGCAAGGTAGTTAATAAGTTAGTGTACCTGCTAAGACATAAGATGGTCCATGTTAGTGAAATTTTTATATCTTAAAAGCTCCATATTAGAAGTTAACTAAAGTACAAAGTACAGTACCGTGTTGACCTGTGAACAGTGGGGGGTTAGGGACAGTAACTCTTGTGGGACTAATATCCTAGTGGTTGGAGGTGATCATATATAAAACATTTATGTGGATATGTTAGAACTGTATATCACATATATGCCATCCCTGCTATGAGGGGCACTTAAGTTATGGGATGAATGATATTATCTAGGGAAGGGATGGAGAATGGAGGGATAGGGAGAGTTCGAGAGTCAGTTGATTATAGGTTAAAATGTGACTTTGCCTCATTCTAGTATTTGCTAAAAATGCGGTAGCATGAGTTAACAGAAATGCCCAAACTACAAAGATTTGATATTGTTTTCTAGGTGTTAAACCGCCTGACATTTGCATCTACTCTTTCTCACCTGCGTCGTTTAAATTCTCCTATTGGTAGAGATGGCAAGCTAGCAAAACCAAGACAATTGCATAATACATTGTGGGGAATGGTGTGTCCTGCCGAGACCCCAGAGGTAATACATTAGAATTTACGTTCAGGACAAAAAGTCTACCGATAATTATGTAGGGTATATAATTACTTTTAGAAGTAAGTAATTTGTTGTGCGGTTTTAGAATTAATGTTTTATTTATGATTTTGTTCTTAGAGTAAATCCTGAAATCAAATTGAAGGAAAAATGTTTATGGAAAGGAATTTTGATAGGTATGTTAAATCCATATGAATAATACTTTGTTTATTCGTAGGGCCATGCTGTAGGACTTGTGAAGAATTTAGCCCTGATGGCTTATATTTCAGTTGGATCTCAGCCTTCTCCAATTCTTGAATTTTTAGAAGAATGGAGTATGGAAAATTTAGAAGAAATATCTCCTGCAGCTATTGCTGAGTGTGTATAGACATGATTTCTTCTTTGAAACTATTGTTAATCTTTGGTTATTGCTTAGCATAGAGTTACTAACTGCAAAATGCTTTTGGTTTCACATTTTAGTGCAACCAAGATTTTTGTTAATGGCTGCTGGGTTGGAATACATAAAGATCCTGAACAACTTATGAACACCCTGAGGAAGTTGCGGCGACAGATGGACATCATTGTGTCTGAAGTGAGCCTTTAATTAAGAGTAGATGATTCTACAGGATTTCTAAACAAGGCATAAGACTAGTGACAATTTTCTTTACATTGGCATTTCTTTAACTGCTTTCTCTTGAATTATAGAGTACATTGTCAGAAGTCTAGGTGATTCTTTTTTAAAGTTTATTTTGAGAGAGAGAGAGAGACAGACAGTGTGAGTGGTGGAGGGGCAGAGAGAGAGGGAGAGAGAATCCCAAACAGGTCCCACCCTGTCAGCACAGAGCCTGACGTGGGGCTCAAACCCACGGACTGTGAAACCATGACCCAAGCTGAAATCAAGAGTCGTATGCTTAACTGACTGAGCCACCCAGGTACCGCATAACTATGTTCTTTATTGAGAATTTCCCCCCACTTTTTGTTTTTTGGAGAGGGGCAGGTGGGGAGGGGCGGAGACAGGGAGTGAGAGAATCTTAAGCAGTGTGGAGCCCAATGAGAGGCTTGAGATCATGACCTGAGTCAAAATCGAGAGTCGCATGTTCTACTGACTGAGCCAGAAAGTGCCCTGCCTAAAATATCTTTTATAATTTCTGGGAATAGGGGCTCCTGGGTGGCTCAGTCGGTTAAGCATCCAACTTCTGCCCAGGTCATGGTCTCATGGTTCATGAGTTCGAGCCCTACATTGGACATGCTGCTGTCAGCATAGAGCCTGCCTTGGATCCTTTGTCCCCCTCTTTCTGTCCCTCCCCCACTGCACACTGTCTCTCAAAAATAAGTAGACATTAAAAAAAATAAAGTATGTTTTCTGGGAATATATTTTCTAGTGCTGCCCAGTAGAAATATCATGTGAGCTACCCATGGATGTAGTAGCCATGTTAAAAAATTAGAAAATGAAAATAATTTTAATAATATATTTTATTTGACCTGTTGTATCCAAAGTACTATAATTTCAACATCTAATTAGTAGTTATGAGAAATTTTGTATCCTTTATTTTTATGTGGTACTTTTTTTTATTGAAGGGTAGTTGATGTACAGTATTGCATTAGTTTCAGGTGTATAACATATTGATTTGACAGTTCTATACATTATGCTGTGCTCACCAGAAATGTAGCTACCATCTGTCATGTATAATAGCAATACATGTTATTATAATGCTATTGACTGTGTTCTCTGCACTGTACCACTTATTATCTGTTCATTCTATAACTGGAAGCTTGTACTTCCTACTACTCCCCTTTACCCTTTTTTGCCCATCCTCCCAACTCCTTCCTGTCTGGTAACCACTAGTTTGTTTTCTGTGTTTATGGGTCTGTTTCTGCTTTGTTTATGTGGTACTCTTTGAAATCCACTATGTAATTTATACACATTGTACACTGCAGCGTCTCTCAGTTCAGAATGGCCATATTTCAAGTGCTTAATAATGACATGTGGCTAATGTCTGCTGTATCGGACAGGTAAATTATAAGCCATTTGTCTGATTAGGTCAGTGTCAGAAGGTGGGCTTGTTTCCGAGAAAGTATGATAGATGCAAAATGATAATGGCTGGTTACTGAAAGGTTGCAGAGTGAAGTCTATGTAATTATCAGGGACAAAATAAATTGCTATCTCTAGTGTTTGTGATGACACACATATATTTTCTTCATTTTGCTTTATCTTGCATGACAGTATTGCCAGATATTCAGCTTTATAATTACCAAGGTTAAATAATTATTCTTTATAAAGTTTTAAATTATACTTAGGTTTTTAGTATATCGAACAATGATAAACTAAGATTTGTCCATTTTTTTAAAAGGTTTATTTATTTTGAGAGAGCATGCACATGCATGCAAGCAGGTGAGGAGTAGAGAGGGGGAGAGAGGATCCCAAGCAGGCTTAGTGCTGACAGCGCAGAGCCCGATGTGGGGCTGGAACTCAGGAACCATGAGATCGTGACTTGAGCCAAAATTAGGAGTTGGATACTTAACCGACTGAGCCACCCAGCTGCTGCAAGATTTGTCCATTTAAAAAAAAAAAAAAAAAAAAAAAAAAAAAAGATTTGTCCATTTTATTTAATAATCGTTTGCTCCAGAAATTTACTAGGAACTTTATTATATTTTTAGCTAAGTCTTAATGATACAGAGAAAAAGCTCATGAGACTGTTTTGTCTTTTTACATATAGGTTTCTATGATCAGAGATATTCGAGAGCGGGAGATTCGGATCTATACCGATGCAGGACGTATTTGTAGGCCACTTCTGATTGTAGAAAAACAAAAACTACTTCTAAAGAAGAGACATATTGATCAATTGAAAGAGAGAGAATATAACAACTACAGGTAAGAACATGCATGAGGAAAAAATTGAGATATAATTCGTATGCCATATAGTTCAGTGGTTTTTAGTATATTCCTGATTGTGCAACTATCACCACTAATTCCAGAATATTTCGTTGCCCCAAAAAGGCACTTTGTACAGTCACGTTTGTTTTTCTTAATTTTTATTATCAAGTAAAGAACTTGTAGCGTTTTGTTAAAGCATTAAAGTCTTTGTGACATGTTGAAGTCTGATAAGAAATAACTTACATAATAGAAATTGTATAGCATGTAATAGGAATAATATGATAGCAAATAAATTTAATAAAAAGATGAATCTGCTTTAAAATTTATTTTTAAAAATATTTGAATGTATATTTTTTTGTAAAAAAAGTCAAACAATGTATATAATAAAAATAGATAAAACCCCTAATCCATACTTTCCTCTTAAAAAGTAACCCATATCCATACACCCATGTATTAGAACAAACCAAGACAAACTAATAGTGATATAGGATCATACTTTGTGTGTGTTGTTTATAGTAACTTGCTTTTTTTCACTATTAACAGTAATATACCTATTTTGGAACTCTTTCTGTATCTGTACATGTAGATAAAAGAATACCATTTTTTTGTTTGTTTGTTTGTATTTTAGAGCAGGGCGGGGGGGGGGCTGGGGGAGGGGCGCGAGGAACAGAGGATCTGATGCTGGCTCTGTGCTGGTAGTAGAGAGCCCACTGTGGGGCTCCAACTCAAACTGTGAGATCATGACTTGGGCCAAAGTCGGATGCTTAAGTAACTGAGCCACCACCTAGGTGCCCTGATATAGGAATGCTCTTCATTAAGCAGGAAGCTTAGTTAAAATACTTCAGTAGATAAGGAAATAAAGTGAATACTTCTTTTTCTTTTAAAGTTTATTTTATTTTTATTTTTTTAGAGAGAGTGTGAGCAGGGTAGAGGGGCAAAGGGAGAGAGAGAATGAATCCTAAGCAGGCTCCACACTTAGCACAGAGCCAGATGCAGGGTTTGATCCCATGACTCTGGGATCATGACCTGAGGTGAAATTGAGTTGGACACTCAACTGACTGAGCCAACCAGGCACTCCAAAGTGAATTCCTCTTTTTTAGTTGGCAGGATCTTGTGGCCAGTGGGGTAGTAGAATATATTGATACTCTGGAAGAAGAAACAGTGATGCTTGCAATGACTCCAGATGATTTACAGGAGAAAGAAGTAGCTTATTGTTCCACATATACACACTGCGAGATTCATCCATCGATGATTCTTGGTGTCTGTGCATCTATTATTCCCTTTCCTGATCATAACCAGGTTGGTAGCAGTTTTTTTAACTTCTGGTTTTTTGAGGTATTGGGGGAAGAAGAATAATACAACTTAGAGATTAATCTGTAGTTTTTTGTAAAGAAAAGTGTGTTGATGAAAAGGCAGTGAACTCATGGAATCAGCATTTAATATGCTTTTTTTTGTTTGTTTCACTGTTAGCTATAATTATTCCAAATGGTTATGACTTCTCTTTCAGAAAAAAACATGACTTTTACCAGCCATATTTCTGATTTGTGTAGTACCCTGTAGAATCTGTTGCTTTAGAAGCATTAAATTTTCATTGATTCTGCTTTTCATTTCTACCTTTAGTCCCCTAGAAACACATACCAGTCTGCTATGGGTAAGCAGGCTATGGGAGTTTATATCACCAACTTCCATGTTCGTATGGATACACTGGCCCATGTTCTGTATTATCCTCAAAAACCACTTGTGACTACACGGTCTATGGAATATCTACGATTTAGAGAGCTGCCAGCAGGTATGTTCAGTTTTGTTTTTCAGTTTTTTTAAAATTTTTTTTATCAAAAAAAATTTTTTTAATGTCTATTTTTGAGAGAGAGTGAGAGAAAGTGCATGAGGGGGAGGGTCAGGGGCAGGGGTGGGGTCAGTCACAGAATCTGAAGCAAGCTCCAGGCTCCGAGAGGTCAGCACAGAGCCTGACGTGGGCTGGGACTTACGAGTTGTATGAGATCATGACCTGAGCCGAAGTAGGATGTGTAACCTACTGAGCCACCTAGGCGCCACTATTCTTTACCTTTTAAGATCCCTGTCATGCTTAAGTACTTTGAGTGCTTGGGAGGGTGAATAAAATAACTTATGACACAACCTCTTTTATCTCAAAATTTATAATGTGGGAAACTTGAACACAAATAATAAAAGATAGATATGTGGAAAGTGTTACGATGAGGTACAGAATCCTTTGAAAGCACAGAGTGAAGGAAATGATTGATACCTGTTGGAAATCTGGAGCCAGTTTCATGGGGGAGGTGGCATTTTAGAGTAGCGTATACTTTGACAAAAGGGTATTTGAGAGGTGGGTTGAGGAAGGGCTTAGATGCATGAATGTATGAGATACGGAACAGTTAGTAGTCATGGCACTTTAGTATAACTGAAGTGTAAATGTATGGGAGTGAGCTTTGGTCTCATAGTGTAGAGAGCAGGTTGAATTTTGAGAATGAAGACCCATCCAGCCTTTTGGAACAAGGAGGTAATACAATTTGGGATTTATTTTGAGGGTTGGGGGTGGGGTGCCTGGGTGGCTCGGTTAAGCATCTGATTCTTGATCTCAGCTCAGGTCTTGATCTCAGGGTTGTGAGTTCAGACCCCACATTGGCTCCACCATGGGCATGGAGCTTACTTAAAAAAAAAAAAAATTAGGAATATCATTCTGGCAGTTGATACAGATTACAATTAGATATGGTATTGGAAGAAGATAATTTAGAGGTTTTTGCAGTGGTCTGAGAATTGGTAAGGTCCTTAAGAAATGAAGAAGAGTAGGAGATGAGATGCCTAATGGAATACCCTTGATGGGACTTGGAAATATTATTGGACATATTGTTGGTGTTCGTGGCTTGGGTGATAAAGAAGAGAAGAGTACTATTAATAAGGTTGGAAGCCCATTAGAAGATGTTTTAGAGGTAAGATAGTAAGTTCAGTTTTCAGCATGTTGATTTTGAGTTGCTGCTATAACGTGTAAGAAAAGATTTTCCAACAGTGAGTCGCAAATATGATTTGAAAGAAGCTCAGATCTGGAGCTGTGAAGTTTTTTATGTATTAGTGGTAATTATAGATTATGATGAAATTGCTAAAGGGAAATTCAGAGTGAAAATAAAGTCAGAGACAGCTTTAGGCACCAGGAAAAGAATCAGAAGAGATTTGAGATGTAGCTGCTGCTAAAGAGAATCAGGAGTTAGCAGGAGATTTTTTGTTTTGAAGTTTATTAATTTATTTTGAGAGAATGTGAACAGGGTAGGGGCAGAGAGAGAGGGAGAGAGAGAATCCCAAGTAGCGTGGAGCCTGACATGGGGCTCGATCCTATAAACTGTGAGATGATGACCTGAGCTGAAATCAAGAGTTGAGCTACTCAGGTGCCGCTGCAAGAGGAGTGTCCTAAGGAGACTGGACAGCCGGCAAAATGGTGCAGAGAAGTCTAAAGGGCAGAAGAGTGTTGAATATTAAAGGAGACAGCATAATTCTTTGGCATAATTGTTTTCTTACCTTATTATTAACAGGGTTTTGGCTTTAACTGTGGGTAACGTTATTTAGTGGAGTTTGCTTTGCAAGTAGTGGCCTTAAATTATTAACTATACTAGGGGTTTAGCATTTTGATAGCAAATTCTTACAGGTAAGAATGATTTATTTTCAAAGTCTTCCACAAGGGGTTACTCTTGTCTAGGAAAACAATCTGTTAGGTTGTCTGCAAGTATGCTCGTATCTTTGGGGTATGCTTGTAGTGTTGTGCTTTCTTCAACATTTACATGATGATTTCTTTATGGCTAGAGAAGAAAAATAGGTAAGGGATTGGAGTTGAAATGTTCTTTTGGTACTGGTATGAAGTGGTGAAGGCATGGGACTACAAGCCTTTCATTTTTTTTTTGTTTTCTTTTAATGTTTATTTTTGAGAGAGAGACAGTATGAGCGGGGGAGGGGCAGAGAGAGAAACACAGAGTCCAAAGCAGGCTCCAGGTTCTGAGCTGTCAACACAGAGCCTGATGCAGGGCTTGAGCTCATGAAACACGAGAGCATGACCTAAGCTGAAGTCAGATGGCTAACCGACTGAGCCACCCAGGTGCCCCGGGACTACATGCCTTTCAATTCTGTTATTGCTTCATGCCTTAATCACATCTATTCTAAAAGCTAAATTTCGCCTGATCTCTCAAACTTGCCCATATAGATAAAGGCTGTAGGATGGAGGGAGCTGCCTCTTGGGCTCTAGTTGATACAGTGTATGTGGGTGATCGGGGATTGTTACAGAGGCAGAATGTCTCACAAGGACCAAGACAGTTGAGAATCATAGACTATATCACCTGGAAAAAGAAAGGGGGATAGGTGGGCTCACCAAAATATGAGGACATGCTGAGGAAGTCTTGCCTATTTCATGTTTCACAGATGTCATATATGTCCTACTACTGGCTTCCTCTGTAGTAGGATCATATCACATCTCCCAAGATCCTGAGATTTCTGCAAATTCTCCAGTTTTCAAACCCTCCTCTGCCTTCAGGAACCTGCATCTTTATGTATTTTCCTTATATTATGCTTCTTGATTATGTTTGAGACTTTGAATTCTTCCAGTTCTCCCAAAGAATCCACACAAAAGGATGGTGACCATGTGGGTGCTACTAAAGATTTCATAGGGGAATCATGTAGATTTCAGGAGGATTATTTGACTTTTCTGAAGACCTTGCCTGCTAATGGGGTTTTATCCACTGTCAACTTCCTTGACACTGCCCTTTCCTTGGAGAATTTCATACTCCTTTCGTCCCAAGCAGAACATTTTAGCTTTTTCTGCTCCAAATTTATTTTTTTATTTTTATTTATATATTTTTAAATGTTTATTATTTTTGAGAGAGAGAGACAAGACACAGCATGCACAGGGGAGGGGCAGAGAGAGGGAGACACAGAATCCGAAGCAGGCTCCAGGCTCTGAGCTGTCAGCACAGAGCCCAATGCGGGGCTCGAACTCACAAAACGCAAGATCATGACCTTAGCCGACGTCAGATGCTTAACCAACTGAGCCACCCAGGTGCCCCTGCTCCAAATTTAAATACACAAACCCGTCAAGGTTCTCAGAAGAACAAATACCTTCTTATTAGAATGATTCTTCTTCCTTAGAGAGCAAAGTTATATTTAGCACAAAGTGTTTAGTGTTAACTTTTAAAAAAATTTTATTTTTAATTTAATTTTTTTGTTTAAGTGTTTATTTATTTTTGAGAGAGAGAGAGAGAGTGGGAGACACAGAATCCAAAGCAGGCTCTAGGCTCTAAGCTGTCAGCACAGAGCCCAATTTGGGGCTCGAACTCACAAATTATGAGATCATGATCTGAGCCGAAGTTGGACACCCAAGTGACTCAGCCACCCAGATGCCCCTAAAATTTACTTATTTTTGAGAGAGTGCAAGACAGAGCATGATTGGGGGGGGGGGGGAGAGAGAGAGGGAGATTGAGAATCACAAGCAGGCTCTGCACCACCAGGACAAAGCCCAACATGGGGCTGGATCTCACAAACCGTGAAATTGTGTGACCTGAGCCAAAATCAACTTAGATGCTTAAGCAACTGAGCCACCCGGCGGCCCCAGTGTTAATCTTTTAAACAGGGCTTTATCTTAAAAAAAAAAATTTTTTTTTTAAATGTTTTATTTATCTTTGAGACAGAGACAGAGCATGAGCAGGGGAGGGGCAGAGAGGAGAGACACAGAGAGCCAAGAGGCTCAGGCTCTGAGCAATGTCAGCACTAGGAGCCTGAACGCCGCTCGAACTCAACAAAGAGCATAAAGATCATGACCTTAGCCGATGTCAGATGCTTAACCAACTGAGCCACCCAGGTGCCCCAGGGCTTTATGTTTTAAACAGGGCTTGCAACCTCAGATTCCTACAGCATTAGGCAGGATTGGTGAGTAAGTAAGTTAAAGGTTTGCCTGTCCACTGGGGTTAGCCCGTAGCTTCAGCTGTGGCTGTGATGTATATAAGTGGACCCAGTGATGCCCGATCTGATATTTCAAAAAACGTTTGAAATCTAAGCTTTTGAATTTACTTTTCAAAGCGTTAGGAATGGATTCAAGTTAAACACAAAACTCCGGAATCTGCTACCTTGGGCCAGGCGTGTTTAAGATAGCCAGCAGAAAGCTTTCTGTGGCATAGAAGCCAGAGCTTTTAAGGGGCAAATGTTGTTATTAGGGAGGAGGGCCTGCCCTTTGCATGCATCTCTCTCTCTATAAATCTGTTTGTGCCTTCGGTTGGGAATTACTGGGAATGAGAGACTTGGAGGAGAGGAGTGTGTCTTCAGTGTCCCAGACCCAGACCAGTAGCACCACCACCTCTTACGCTGCATCCTCCTTGTTAAAACTGCACCCCTGGCTGTATGCATAAAGGAGTAAATGAATGGTGTGCCTTCTCATGAGGGGTGGGTTGCTTTTTGAAAGTTGAATTTAGCTTTAGGGAAGCAAATATAAACATTTGATTCAGAATTCAGATAACCAGAACATTGAGTTATCCAGATTTAGTTGCTTTGTATTCTGTAGTCATAGTCTTTTACTCCACATTTGAAATATTTAAATCAAGATATGTTAACTATAGCTTTAGAGTTGAATGTATTTTAATTTTTGGAAAATCTGATTCACATATATGTGCATTATGTTCATTGAAACTCCACCCACATTCAGCAGTCATTTCTTAGATTTCAGTCCTACTAGTTCATAGGGTGTTTTAAACTTTTGTCTTTTTAAGTACTTGTTATTTTCTTTACAGTCTAATCAAAAGTAGTTTGGGCAGCAGCAACTAAGAATAAGATTGTGGTGTGGAAGGTGGCCCCACGTTTTTGTTAGTATAGGGAAAGCAGAATGGTACTAGGTTCAAACTGCAAATCAGGAGACAAGGAACTGGGACTTGAGTCTGTTGTTTACTAACTTTGGGAGCATGGATAAGTCATTTAAATAGTTCCTTCTGATAATGATGAGAATAGTAGTACCTCATTTATGGCACAGGGTTGCTGTGAAAATTGTGAAACTTGGTTTAGGGAAGCACTTTGTAAATTAGTGCTTAATTTACAAAAAAATTATTTTTGAGAGAGAGTGTAAGTGGAGGAGGGGCAGAGAGAGGGAGACATAGAATCTGAAGCAGGCTCTAGGTTCTGGGCTGTCAGCACAGAGACTGACACAGGGCTTGAACCCACGAATGGAGAGATCATGACCTTAGCCGAAGTTTCACGCTTAACCGACTGAGCTACTCAGGCTTCCCAGGGATGCACTTTATAAATATGAGGTGACTTGTATGTGTAATCACCAATTATAAGATGGGTACATTGAGAATGACTACCTCTTTTTTTTTTTTTTTTTTAATTTTTTAATGTTTATTTATTTTTGAGAGAGAGTGCAAGCAGGGGAGGAGCAGAGAGAGAGAGGGAGACACAGAATCTGAAGCAGGCTCCAGGCTCTGAGCTATCAGCACAGAGCCTGATGTGGGGCTCGAACCCACAAACCGTGAGATCATGACCTGAGCCGAAGACAGACGCTTAACTGAATGAGACACCCAGGCGCCCATGACTACCCCTTTTTTAAAGTTTGTTTATTTTGAAAGAGCATGAGCAGGGGAGGGGCACAGAGAGGATTCTAAGGAGTGCTGTCAGCATGGAGCCCAACTTGGGGCTTGAAGCCATGAACTATGAGAGCATTATTTGAGCCGAAATCAAGAGTCTGATGCCTGACTGAGCCACCCAGATGCCCCAGGTTTTGCTTATTTTATTCATTAAGCCTTCAGAGTAGTTGCCTCATTTATTGCTATCCCAGGGGAAGTAGACTTTGACAGGTACTGCCGTGAAAAACATTTGTGGCAAATATGGTTACATAAAATTGCTTTAAAAGAAAGGGTCAGTGACTAGCCTCATCGCTTCCTTCGGTCCCATATCAAACTTGAGTTGGCAGAGGCAAGTCTGGTTTCAAAATGGTGGTAAAACCCCTGCCTGATCGCCTCCAGCCCCACTCTAGCCATCGCTACCAGGGGGAGGAAGGGCATGATCCACAGGAACCGGAGCAGTTGAGAAAACTTTATTGGTGGGTTGAGCTTTGATACTACATATGATTGTTTAAGAGAACATTTTGAAAAAATGGGGCACACTTACAGATTATATGGTTTTGAGGGACTCTGAAACAAAACGTTCCAGGGGTTTTGGTTTTGTGACTTATTTGTTGAAGAGGTGGATGCAGCAATGTGTGCTTGACCACACAAGGTTGATGGGTGTGTAGTGGAATCAAAGAGAGCTGTTTTTACAGAGGATTCTGTAAAGCTTGGTGTATTAAAGAAAATACAGAAGAATAACATGAGAGACTACTTTGAAAAGTAAGATTGGCAAGATTGAAACCACAGAAGTTATGGAAGACGGGCGGAGTGGAAAAAAGGATTTGCTTTTGTAATTTTTGATGATCATGATACAGTTGATAAAATTGTTGTTCAGAAATACTACACTACTAATGGGCATAATTGTGAAGTGGTAAAGGCCCTTTCTAAACTAGAAATACAGTCTGCTGGATTGCAGAGAGGTTGTCGTGGAGGTGGATCTGGCAACTTTTTAGGTGGTGGGGGAAACTTTGGAGCTAGTGGTGACTTTGGCCATGGTGGAAACTTTGGTGGAAGAAGAGGTTCTGGTGGTGGAGATGATGGCAGCAGAGTTAGTTATAAAAGAGGTGAGGGTGACAACTATGACAGTGGTCCTGGTTATAGTCGTGGAGGAGGTTCTGGTGTTGGTGGACCAGGATATGGAAACCAAGGAGGTGGATGTTGTGGTGGTGGTGGTGTTGATGGTTACGATGAAAGAGGAAATTTCAGAGGTGGTAAATGTGGTGGTGGGAACTATAATGGTTTTGGAAATAGCAGTGGGCCACAGAAGTAAAATTATGGACCCACGAAACAGGGCAGTTTCAGTGGAATAAGCTTGGGCAGTCCCTGTGGTGGTGGTTATGGATCTAGTGGTGGAAGTAAATGATGTGGTAGCAGAGAGTTATAAAAAAAAAAAAAACTCAGAAGAAAAGGGCTACAGTTCGTAGCAGGAGAGAGAGCAAGGAGTTACCAGGAAAGCTACAGGTTACTTTGAGATATTTGTCCCAAATGCATTAGAGGAACTGTAAATATCTGCCACAGAAGGATCAATGATCCAGAGTGAGAAAAGTTACTACAGCTTAAACGGGAAACTTTTCTTATTTAGGACTGTCCTAGCCACAATTTGCAAAAAGTGCAGCTATTGCTTAATGCAGGGTAGTGTCAATTAGATGTACATTCCCACCCCGACTCCCTCTATTTTTAAAGATTTTATTTTTAAGTAATCTCTACACCCATTGTGGGGCTCGAACTCATGACCCTGAGATCAAGAGTCGCATGCTCTACTGATTGAGCCAGCCAGGCATCCCTGGATGTACATTTCTGAGGTCTTTTATCTGTTGTAGCTTTGTCTTTTTTGTTGTTGTTTTCTTTTTTTCTTTACGTCTGGTGTATTGCCCTATAAATTGTGGTAGTGGTACCAGGAATAAAAAATTAAGGAATTTTTTAACTTTTCAAAAAAAAAATAAAAGGAATAATTTTTCTTTGTTTCCTATATGATACTTAAATGTATGCTTTTACATGCACTACAGGTATCAACTCCATTGTGGCGATTGCATCTTACACTGGATATAATCAAGAAGACTCTGTTATCATGAATCGTTCAGCTGTAGACAGAGGCTTTTTCAGGTCAGCTATTTACAACAGTTGTCAAAACATTAATATTTTAATCAAAAAAAGTTTTTTAAAAACAAGTTTGGCTTATGTATCCAAACTTTTTGGTGGTTTCGAAGATCAGGCTAGAAGAGATTTTGATCTGACTTGACAGCAGAGAAATTTTTCTGTTAAGATATTTAATCTTTTGCCTCAATTCACGATGCTTTGTGGATATTTGGCAGACATATACTGTTGTGTGGATGACTATATATAGTGTGAAATCATTGCCTGACTCCAGAAAACAGGAGGCCTGGTTGATGGTCATGAGTGACTGAAGACACTATTTCTTGTGTCTCAGGATTTTCAGATGTTAATATGTTGAGGCCCCCACCTCCCACACTGTTTTTTGGTAAGCAAAGACATCTTTGCATTTAGATAGTACAGAAACGTCTAAAGAAATAAAAATAAACCTGTAATCTTAGGATCCATAAATAACTATTAAAATTATAGTGTGTTTGGGGCGCCTGGGTGGCGTAGTCGGTTAAGCGTCCGACTTCAGCCAGGTCACGATCTCGCGGTCTGTGAGTTCGAGCCCCGCATCAGGCTCTG